CGGGGACCAGCCGTCCATGAACACCGGCTGGTAAGGAGGAATCGCGGTCTTCCATTGTTCCCTACACAAAAATTCAGCCGTTGAACACAAATTGTTTGGTCATTGGGAGCACTGGTCCCGCGAGCTACGACAACATGAACTTCGTTGCACAATGAGAACCTTAAATTTTCTGTATTGTTAATATTTTATTATTGTACTCGTAGATCGTAATCCGGCTTTAAAATGTTATCGATATCTAGAATGTCGTTATAACATGGCGTGTAACAATCGCAAATATCTCTGTTATCTACGAAATTATCTTGTTTTTGTTTGACAACGTTGGCGAAGAGGGATAGAAATATGTCAGTACTAAACTCAATCGAACTATCGAGAGGATAACGAAATAAAAAAGGCAATGATGATGACGAAGAGTCTAGCGACGAAATCGGCGTTCAGTTACCTGGGCACGAGCCAGGCGTCGCCCAGCGAGTGCCACAGCTCGGTCTCCTTGCTGGTGACGCAGTTGGCGAGCAGGTTGAGGGCGTCGCGCGTGAGCAGCGGTTGCACGACGCGCGCCGCCAGCCGCCCGTCCGCCGCGTCCTGCGCCGCGTCCACGATCAGCGCCAGCGGCGTGAACAAGAAGTGCACCAGCTCCGGCGCGTTGGGGTCGTGTATGTGCGCGCGCAGCCTCGCCAGCAGGTTGAACGACAGCTTGAACTTTTGCAGCACATCGACGAAGTCCCGCTCCGGCGGCGGGCGCGTGCGTAGCGCCAGCATGCCGTCGCCGGCGCGCCGCGCGCCGCGCCCGCCGCGTCGCCGCCGCTCCAGCTCGCGCGACGCCGCCGCTGCGTGCTGCAGTCGCGCTATGAACTTCTCGATGTCGTCGAAGCACCGGTTGAGGATGGCGATGTCCTGCTCGTACAGCCGCTCTGAGCCGGTGGACGAGGCGTCGTCGCGGTCGCCGCCCGAGCCCGCGCGCTCACCGCGCTCACGTCCCAGCTGCGCCGCCATCGGCTGCGGAAACGAAGCGGAAAGACAGTTAAACCACGACAACAAAGTTTTTACAAAACAATAGGGGATCGAAACTCACTCGTAGAATATTGTTAATACTTGTTTTTTTTTATTAGTGACATTTGACAGTTAAAAGCTAACTTACTTTTGTTAAGTTGAAGTGAGAGCGCAATAAAACAATTTTGGAAAGTCATATTCTTATAAATGGAGGAACGTACGATGAAAAATCTGCTCGCCCTAGCTAAAGTATAATATTATTCATAGGAATGGCCGGCTGCAGTAGATTGATTTATTTATTTATTTACACGGTAGACTTGTAGTCTAGTTAAGCTGTAGCTGTAATGTAACATTAATAGATTGATATATCATAATTGAAGTAACCATAGATATTTATAAGATGCGTGTTTATCGCGGGCTCCATTGATACTGGCAGATAAGCAATCGCACAAGTGGAGAGCGATAGCGGGGAACCTACTTCTAGAACTGAATACTGTCGATACGATACTGCCGCTCGCCGCTCGAGTGACGTCACCCACATTGGAACTTTACCATTAGTCATTTACGACGAGTCGCGTACATATGCAACAGCTTTCTATCTCAACGTAACGTAATCCAGATTTTTATTAAAAAAAATAGTACAAGACATTTGTACTCCTCACCTGCCGACGCGGACGCTCGATCTCGTTTTCTCTCTCCCTCTCTCGTTCCCGCTCGATGACGAAATCCCGACCGGGTTCCCCTGCCGCGCCGCCCACCCCCCTGCACACCACAACGTCACTCACTGACTGCATACACAAGACTATCTTAACTATACGACAACAACGAGAAATCGGAATAAAATTTCAAATGTGAAAACCCTCATCCCGGGCCGGTAGGATTGTAAAATATACTTGACGTCACATACCACTAGCAAATTCCTGTATTTTTCTTTCTATGTCTAGCCTTTAAAAATAGTAATATCATATCTCGTTCAAAATTTTACTAGTACTTAGTGACAGAAGGGGAATTGTGTAGTTAGGCCGCACCGGGGGCGCCAGGAGTACGCGGAGACGGGCAGCGGCACCGTGGGCGGGAAGCGATACGAACGCATGCTGGAGCGGAGCGGTCCGTGCTCTTTGCGCGGTCCACGCGGTCTGGCCCAAACTCGCACATCTCACGTATCGATATCGCCGTGCTATTATCTCCCAGTAGGCCGTCCTCCGATATCTCCGCAATCTTGTTAATATATATATTTTTTAAATCAAGGCTCCATCGCCGTGCGCTCCGGAGCAAGAGGAGAGAAAGGCTGGCGGGATGTACTAACTTGAGCGCATTGAGCTCCTCAACGAGCGCGTGCGCGGGCACGTCGTGGCACTGGAAGATGTGCAGCTCGCGGCGCGCGTCTGGCGCGTCCGGCGCGCCCGCCACGAACGCCAGCACGTTGTTGTACAACTCGCCGGGCTCGGGCGACGTGAACGCCGTCGGGGAGTGCACGTGCGACGCCGGGAAGCGCTCCATTATACTCTGTTTCACACCCATACATAAACAATTGAGTATTTTATAGAAATGTTGTCAAGGATTAGGAGTCTTGTATGAAGTTGAGATATTGCACCTGTAAAATAGACGCTCAAGTAACTAATACCAATATTACTACACAAGTGCAGAAGTCTTGTTTCATAAAAGTATTATGTCTGCTCGGCGTTTAGTAAAACTCTCTAACGAGTTCGATCCGTCATTTTTAAACAATACATGTTTAAAAACACTAGCAGCAGATAGAAACATCGTGATATGTACTTATACAGAAGATGCTCAAATCGCAGATTTTCTTTGACCCGAGCTGATGTATGCTTTGAAAGTGTCATACCCCTGACTCATAGTCCATGACCAGCACCCACTGGTCCTCGAGACATAGCTGCATTTTCTGACTCCATATCCCTGAAGAGAAAAACACGTCATAAAACACAGATTTATCTTAAGGACTGTTGGTTTCCGTCATTGCTTAGTCACCTGTCATCAATTCAATGAAAAAATGATAGCTACGTTATCTAAGTATAGGCATAATGAATGACTGTGTTAGCTATTCATTACTCGTATTTACAACAAGTATGATTTGTCGCTTTAACCAGCTCCTGTTTAAAGTAATAATAAGTCAATTGTTGTCATCACGTCGCATCAGCGCAGCCGGAACCGACTGTGTGAGTTTCGTGACTCTGAGAAATACTGATCAAGGCCTTGGCATTCGCTTTAATAATGAGGATATTTTACCAAAAAACTCAGTCTGTTTCGTAAGGCGTGGTTAGGAGTCGTACCGTTAGTCTTCTCTAGCTGCAGCAGCCGACGCATGCCGTCCGCCGGGTACACGATGCCGGTCTCGCGCGTCACCGTGAACGTAGCGAGGTGCTCCAGCACGTAAGCGCGCAGCCCCGCCAGCTGCTCGAACTGCTCGAGCGCGCGCTGCGTGTCCCCCGTGCCGCCCCCGCCCCCGCCCCCGCGCTGCGCCATCCCTCGCGCCCTCACGCAGGGTGGCCACACATCCCCGGCTGAAGGACACTCGGTTGCACTCGGTTTCAATCACTTCTTAATGTATCTGTTGAAAAAACATATTTACCTATACTATAAAATTGAAAAGTTTGTATAATATTTGGTTAACCGGTTTCTAATCATTAAAATTAAGCAACGACGAAGACAAATTTTCGTTCCAGTCATTCTCTCCAATTAAGATAGAAAAAACATTTGGCATTGGATTATATTGTTGCTGATATCTGCGGGTAGCCTAATGTCCTAGAGGACCGTCGATGTGGTACCGTGGCCCGCCAATGGTTGCGACACACGAGGCACTAGAGTTTTGTGATGATCAAATAAAATAAGCAATCTTCACTATATGTTCTGGTCAATCTTCACTGAACAAGTGTTTACTTTTAGAATTTACTTTCACCTTTTCCTCCGGCGGCGCGCGTCTACACTCGTATTCACAATTATTGCCTTCACAGCGAAGATCTGTGTCACGTCAGGTCCCGCACATTTTCATTTCGTTCATGGCCACGGCACGTTAGCCGAACTTAAGTCCGCTTTTCACTACAACAATTCGATAGAAACTAGCGCGATGCGTCGCACTCGGAAGTGGCGACCGACAGGTGCGCGGAGCTGCGCGTGAGCGGCATCACGAGCGATTAGTCCGTCATGCTCGCACCCGGTGCATCCTCCTACTGCCATCTTTCTCGCACTAGTGTACAAATACAACAGGATATAGTTTTCATTGTACCGGAAGTCGTTCCGTTATTTATGACAATGCCCACGAATTATAAGAATATGTAACGAAATTGTCTATTATCTTAATAGTTATTACAAAATTGCAATTAGTATTGCTGTGTGTGGTCAGAAAAAATGTGTAACATGTTTTTCTCTCAGAGATTATTTGTCGTGCGTGTGTCACGCGGCCTGGGCGCGCCTACGTGATAGGTCCGCCTTCTCGGAAGATCATCGAAATTTTAATGTAGTCAATTATACAGACTTTACGTAAACCGGTTGCAAGCGCGAAGCCTTCAGGTATGTATGTAGCTAGATTGGCAAGGACGAGCGCGAGGCACACGCGATACTTGCATATATCATATTATATTATGTATGTATTCACTTAACATAAGCATAGCTACAGTACCTACATGTTAATAATAATTGCTTAAGTTCGTTTGAACGATCAGTAAGTTAGACACCAGACTTTTCTAACTGAAAGTATTTATGTGGGCAGCAGCGTCAATTCGGACACAGTACACACACATGCTGTAGGCTGTAGGAGACTGCCCATTCTGTATCATTGCAATACTGTAAGTAGCATTACCTCTAATGCTGGACTCACATCGGGTGCCCGTCACTGACACCGACACCGTCATCATCCATCACTTAATTTCTTACTACACAATCTAGATTTGACATTTAGAATAATAAAAAATTGATCTAACATTCCGGGCGACATAACTGTAGAAAATTCCCTCGACTACGAAGGTCATCATTTGAATTTAAACAAACGTTAAGAGCGATGAATACGAGTCGGAGGCACAAACAACATGCATACACTCTATACATATACATAGTACATACTTATATGTACATACTCACCTGTGCGGCGTTGCCGGCTATTGTATTGCTCGCGAGTGTGTGTGGCGGACACACGACCAACGCGTTATCGTACACTTTAATTGGTTTATCTTAATGTCCATTTACAATGTACATAATTTGCTCAGAAACACTAAAGATAACAGCAGCGCAGCGCAGTCCTTCGTGTAAGGCGAGAATAAGCTTAGGCAATAAATGATGAGAGCGGAGAGGCGCAGCGAGCTCTGCCCATGTCGCACACACGAGGGCGTCACAGCCGCGTTGTAGGTACACAATATAACACAACACAACACAAGTGTAATGTGCACTTAAAGGCGATTAGCTAATACCCGCGCATTCCAACACCGACTCGTGCGTGACGAATTCGCTTGCGAAATGAACAAGTGTGTAATTTATTCAATACATGTTTATATGGTATCGTAGCCCTTATTGTTAACACGCCTAAGTGCTAGTGTCGTTTGAGCGCTTGTTGGTTATTGAAAGTGCATTGTCGAGGTGATGTTAATGAGTGCGCGGGGCGAAGTGCGCGGGGCGCGGGTTCGGCGGGAGATGTCTCACTCGGCGCTGCTAATGAATAGCGCGTCGTGTGACCGTGACACGGCGCGGGGCGGCGGGGCGGCGGGGCGGGGTCGCTGGAAACTTGACACACATTCCACTTACGGTTTAGCAGTAGGGCTCCGGCACCTCCAGACTAACGACTTATTTGGTTGTACTCGTATTCGTACAATTGATCCTAACTATTGTATCATACTACAACTTGACGTTAGAAAACGCGAGTGGAGGCCTGGGAAGCGCGCAGTCGTGTCGCTTGCCCTATCGCTGTCAACTCTCCCACCTGCGTCGTGTGGTCGCAAGATCTACTATTGGAGCCACCAGCTGACAATACACGGCTCACCTTATTATACACAATGCAAAGTAAACTGCGATTGCATTTTGCGCATGTTGGTGAAACCATACAGATGTTACTCGTGTGTAGCGGCCGTAGTTAATGTCCCAAATATGTCTGTTCAAATTACATAAATACCTTTTGAAATGAGCATAATGTAATTTAATGCGCCAGTTGGAACAGCTGACGATTACGAGGTATTGAAGCCAATTAACATTTGGCTTAAGTCGACAGTTTCAAAGGTTTCTTAATTCCTTAGATATTAGTTATTACAAGTAAAGTGTCACACTTATAGGCACTTTCGTGCCGACGCATGTTGTTGCTAAGGCGGTGCGAGTTGGAACTTATTGGTTTATAAGTTATGTATTTTATTTGCATCTTTATAAAAGTCAAGTAAAGGTCGATGTGCATGCTACACACAAGAGGTAGCGAGACTGCAGCGGGCGGGGTGGGGGCGGGGGCAGGAGGAGGCTGCATGTAGCTGGTTGGAAAGCGAGCCCCGCACCAGCCGCGGTGTAATCACTGGCGTACAATAAGAGATGTGACAATAGCATTACATCAATACGTAAAGCGAAGTCTTTGCGGGGTACAACATTTTAATGTAACTAATTGAGGTAACGAGGAACGTAAAAACAATGTGGAATAGTGCATAAAGTTATTGTACAAAAAAAAATTAACTACACTAAGTATTATGGTCAAATTTCGTCTAATTAAAACCATCATGCTATGCTTTTATATCTGTTGTGAATAACGATAGTAATACATTTTTACTTATAGTTACGTTATATCTAAATCTTGTAAACTGTATCCGGTCGTATACAGTCGTATCCGGTCGACTGTACACCTAACCGTTTAGGCTCCGTTCCTAAAACTCTTATTATTACAAATAAGTACCGGCGATTGTCTTTATGATAAACATATCCATATTCCTACTATTAATATTTATCTATTAATTTAGATTTCAGCTGTTATCTAAGATAAATACCGTTCGAGAGTTCTAAGTCTGTCGGTAACAACTTAACAAGCGAGTACATTTTAATTACCTACACTAAAAAATGGGAACTTGTTTAGTATGAGAGGATTTTCGTGATGTGTCAATGATCACTAGGTAAATGATATACACATATATTTTTTAACATAAACAAACCAGCGCTTGACCACGATTCCACCTAAGCTAAGTGAAGACGCTGCCGAAGGATAGAGCGCGCTAGCTCAATAAATGCCGATTCACCCTGCTCTTGAAGGCACCCACGTTATAACTGGACGGGAACACTGAGGCCGGCAACATGTTAATACATACATACATTTTTATTATCAATTTTGTTAGACCGACAAATCATTTCCAAGTGCATAATTAGAAAATTAATCAAGTGTCGAGTGCGCGCTGACTTCAATGTGCTCGACGGCTTTTTTGATCCCGTCGAATGCACACCACATTGCAAAGCAAATAAATAAACACGACCATACATATCTCTCAAACATAATCTTCCCATAAAAGATTTCAACGCGCGCAACATCTCCCGACAGCGAGCCACAAAAATAAACATCCAAAAAAAAATAACCTGGAGAATATTTGTAATAGTAAGTTATTATTTATTTTCATCGGATTGAGATGGAGGATGACTAGTTTACAGTTTCAGAGGATTAAGCAAACTCTCCGGCGCTTATCTTATCACTAGTTCGGCCTACATGTTGCTTGCTACAGGAACGCTCCACATGATTGCGACACGGCGCAGAGTGACCGACATTTGTAAGTACATGTGGATGTATATGTGTACAACTTTAAACCATATTTGGATGAAAATAAGGCGCAATACAGCTTGGGCAGAGACGCGTCAGACCCGCTTCGTCTCGTGTCACTACACGTGACTTTATAATATAATATCTATATAAGCATAGATCATACACTGGATTTGTAATTGTTTATTTCATAATTGTCATTTTACGTTAATAATTTTAACTCCACATAAGTATTTAGTGACGACGTGCGTGGTGTGGCGAGCTGGCGAGACTCGGGCGCAGCGCTCGTGTCCACAAGTGTTAGTAGGCAGGAGTCCAGTTCGGTTGCATCAAACATTCCAAACTGCGAGTGCGTGCCGCGTGGGAGCGTGATGGCACGCGTTAGAGAAGGACGGACGACGACTACGTCATCAAATTATGAACTAAAGATGGTGGCGGAGCTATAGATGTGTGTGTGTGTGTGTGTATGTGTGTGTTTGTGCGATGAAATTTCATAAAACGTTAGGTTTAAATGTTTGATTTATAAAAAGCTTAGGAGATTATAAACTATGAATATTTGCAATGCCATTACGGATATTATGTACGTACGTAAATATGAAATGATTGCCGACAGTCGCAGCCTGGTTAAATGTTTATGACATAGAATGTAATGTAGAATGTAGTATTTCAGCGTACTTATACAGAAAAAAAACCTTTCAAATTATCTGTCCGCATGTCCGCGTTTTTTTTTATGTAACAATGTATTTTTAAGATCTGTAAATATTGTTAACCTTTTAAAAATCGAGATTTCCAAAGCACTCTTTAGTGGTTATATAATTTTAGCTAATAAAAGCTTTATGTGTTTGCTTGTGTTTATGTATCAGCCGCGTAGTGCTGCAAATATGCCGACTGATAACACTAATCACAACGCCTTTCTGAATCATCTCAACGGCGGTACACTTCTGTTAATGACACATTCGAGTAAATACGTGTTTGATGAAATAACAGAGATTTTGCTTGCAACAAATTCCAAGACTTCGAGGGATCCAAGATATCGAAGGCCAGACTCGATATACGGATCATTATTTAATTAAATATTTTCACATGTCTTAAGATGCAAGTACGAGTATAACTCGCTAAGACCGACACTAAAAAACGTTATCAGTTATTTTGTTTGACGCAGGATATTTCTAAATCCGATGAACTTCAAACGATGTCATTGACGATAATGCTTATGAATTGTTACACGATTTAAAAGTTATTATGATACGGCCCCACCTCGCTTTTCATTATGAAAATCCTTCATTGATAGTGAGTAAAAACAAATGATCGACGACGACATTTGTTCTGTCAGAGGTTCGTCCCCGCGCCGACGGCGG